CTACTACTACTACTACTACTTTACTACTACTACTACTACTACTACTACTACTACTACTACTACTACTACTACTACTACTACTACTACTACTGCTACTGCTACTGCTACTGCTACTGCTACTACGACGACGACGACTAATACAGCTACAACAGTAACAACACTCAGTTTAAGACTCTTCGTTCTCAACTGCTCGCGTGCCGCTCAACACGTAGATCCCAAATCCTCGGTACCCGCCCTCTTCGTCTTCGATCGTACCCCTTCTTGGAGGTATACCTCCCCTAGCTGCCGCATGCATGTAGCGCAGCCCCTGAAAAAGGGAAGTAGGGGAGGAGTGAAGAGACAAGGGGGAGGGAGGAGGATGGAGCACGAGCGGCATTTGCTGGAGGAGGGTCAGGAGCAGCAGCACAGGCGACAGAACCAGCCTGGCGTGTCGGGCGGGCGCCTCAGCGAGCACACGATTTCGGAATATCTTGTGAGGGAGCATCAGGCGGGAACCGTTGTTGTTGTAGCCGGGGGGGGCCAGGAGCCCAATTTGGTGGCACCTCACTTGTCCTTGTAACAAACACGGTGCGAACACGGGAGAGACACTTTAACTGAAAAGGGCAATGGTTACTGGGCAGGGGGGATCGGCAAAATTATTCTTCAGAAATGGGAACTCCGCACCAGCAACAATAACAACCGCAATAACGACGACGACGACCAACAACCACAACAACAACAACAGCATCGACCGCGATACTTATAAGTTTAAACAGTTGATCGCTATGTTATCTGCTCGCGGGCCAACAAAAACACCAACACCAACAACAATAACAGCACCAACAACAACAACAACAGCAACAACAACAACGTACCCCCCTTGGGGATATATCTTCCCTACCTGCCGCGTGTAGTTGACGCAGCCCCCAAAACAGGGACAGGAAACAGGGACAGGAAGGGAGGAAGGAAGAGACAGGGGGAGGGAGAAGGATTGAGCACGCGAGAAAGTTGCAGGAGGAGGGCGAGGAGCAGGAATACAAGCGGCAGAACCGATCGGGCGGGTCGGGCGGGCGGACCCTAACGGGCAGGTCGGGCGCACGGGACCAGGCGGCTGGGTCGAGCGGGCAGGTCGCTGTAGCGTCAATCCAACATGAATCACAAGGAAGCTTCGAGCGATAGCGCGATTCCCAAGTAAATCGTGAAACCTACAGCGAGAGCGTGACTCCTGAGTCTAGGGGGCACGGCGCAACAATCCGCCGACCCTCGCTTGCCGGGGTGCAAAGGCGTGTGAGATGATTGGCTGTCTTCCTCCTCCTTTATACCTCGCCTGGGGGAGGGGCCCCGAGGGGTGCCCACTAGCTCATCAACGCTCACCCGAGGCCTCCAGAGCCTCCATTTTTATATTATGCGGCCTCCAAGATGCCTAATAATCGATCTGCGCTTGCCCAAGCAAGGTTCCAACACGATAGGTTCAAGACTTCCCAAGAGGCCTCAAAGACGCCCTGAGAAGGTTTCAAGCCGAGCCCCGAGAGGCCCTAAGAAGCAAGAATCGCCAAAATCTGCTGGCAAACCGCATGAGTTGAATATACTCGCATGTTTGGTCTCAACAGCGTCCAAGGCTGCTCCAGGGGCCCCCATGATCGCTCCAAGATGGCCCAAGAAGCCTCCAAGAGGGCCCCAAGACGGCTGAAGAGGGTCCAAGATGGCGCAAGCCACGTGAATAACTTGTGAGACAGTGCCACGCGAGAGCGCGATTCCTGAATGAACTCTGAGCGGAGCCCGCGCGAGAGCGCGATTCTGATATAAGTTGCGAGGAGGTATCAGGCGGAAACCATTGTTGTTGTAGCTCGAAGCCCGACAGGGCAATGTGATGACCAAGACTTCCCCTTCGAAACGACAGGGTTCAAGCCCAGGGAGGAGCACTTGAATTACAAAAACGTAAGTGGCACCGAATGGGAGATCAACAACACGGATTCCTTCGACCTGACAGCTCAGTAGCAATCTTACTACCAGCATCATCAACAGCGTCAGCATCAGCAACAGCATCACCACAAGCGTCGCAAACAATATAGTCGTCATCATAGTCATACTCATCAGCATGATCATCATCATCATCATCATCATCATCATCATCATCATCATCATCAGGAGCAGCAGCAGCAGCGGCATCATCATCATCAACATCAGCAGCATCAGCATCAGCATCAGCATGATCATCATCATCAGCAACATCATCAGTATCATCAGCAGTTGCATCAGCATCAGCAGCAGCATCATCGTCGTCAACAGCATCAGCATCAGCATCAGCCTCAACCTCATCATCATCATCATAATCATCATCAGCAGCATCATAAACATCATCACTATCATCATCAGCATCATCAGCATCACCGCCACCACCAGCATCATCATCGTCATTGTCGGCGTCATCAGCATCAACATCAGCACAAGTATCAGCATCATCCGCATCATTACCATAGGCGGCGCAAATATCATCATCATCATGATCATCATCAGCGTCATCATCATCACCACCATCATCAGCATCATCCTCATCATCAGCATCATAATTGTCATCATCAGCATCAGCATCAGCGTCATCATCATCAACATGATTACCAGCATCGCCATCATCCATCATCATTATTAGCATCATCATCCTCAGCATCATCATTATCACAGTCATCATCACCATCATCATCTTCATCAAATCCACCACCACCATCACTTTCATCATCAGCAGCATCAGCAGCATCAGCATCATCATCATCCGTACCATCATAGGCATCATCATCACATCATGCCTATTACGAGTTATCATCACCACCATCATCAGCAGCAGCATAAGCATCATTAGCATCAGCAGCAGCAGTAGAGGCAGCAGCATCAGCATCAGCAGCATCATCACCATCATCATCATCACCATCATCATCGTCATTGGCATCCTCGTCCTCGTCCCCGTCCTCGTCCTCTCTCATCTTGGACCAGTTGGAGCCTCTCTCCCGCCCGTCAGAGGGCGGGTCTCCTGGTCCAGTTGCCGTCCGTCTTGTCGTGCTGGTGGGAGCAGGAGCCCGCCACACGGACCCGCGGGGCGGAGGTCATCGACGACCACCCCTTGGACTGCCAGTCCTCTTCGGACGAGGACACAAAAGGAAGAAGGATGGAGGAGGAGGAAGAGGAAGCTCGGCGGGGCGCCCGGGGGGGGAAGTGAGAGGGGCATTGAGCTCTGGACGAATTCGCCCAGCTTTGGGCCCAGGGCCATCACAGATCGATCCGGCTGTAAAATGCCGCAGAGAAACTGTGTCTAGGGATCCGGTCATAATTTTCGCGAATTTCTCATTGCTTCGCACCGTCGAATCTCAGGGATGTAGCCCTTCTCTGAAGGCGGCGGGGATTCTCAGAAGCCCTCCTGGGACCTTCTGGGGAGCCCTCTGTGGCTTCGGACCAAGACTTAGAAAGCTTCTCAGAGGGCTGGAGGCCTTCCGAGCCTTCTGAGAAGGCCCGCCCCCGTCTGCCTTCCTCTGGGCAAGCCGCCGATAGAAGAAAAAAAATCGCTTAGCGTGGCAAGCCGATGAGTTGGACCAGGGCTGAACCTAAACGGTGTTTTTCGTTTTCATGTTGTTCTCGTTTGCCCTCGTGTTGTCTTCAATCCACCTCTACCGCAAAACGAAGCCGAAACGAAAACGGCCCACGAAATCGCCAAAACACCGTTTAGGTCCAGCCCTGAGTTGGACATACACACGCGACGCGCGCAACCGTTCGGCCGCGAAGCGACAGTGTCAGGCCGACCAGCACCGGCGCGCAGCGGCCGTGGCCGCGAGCAAGGAACCTTCACTGGCCCTGTCGGCATTCACTGCTTGTCGCCTGCACTTCTTCGGTGCGCATTGGGGCTGTCGATGCATCTGAAAATGTCGATGCGTCTGGTACATCAACTGGAACGCGCTGGATGTGCCTGTGCTGCTTCGGACTGCAGGCTCCTCTCAAATCGGCTATACGCAAGAGTGACCCTGGGTAAGAGTGACCTTTGGTGCGCGACTCTTTGGGGGCCGCGGGGGGACCAAACCTGGGCGCGCAAGCAGCTGCTGCTGCTTCGTTTTCAGCCATCTACGGACCATTTCTGTGCCCGCACCAAAGGTCACTCCAGCGAAAGGTCACTCTTACGTCTAGTCGATCAGAGCACCCCTGAGCTGTTGGTCCCCCCCCTCCCTGCGGCGAGCCCGCCCCAGGCCGAGGAGCTTCGGGTGGGCATGGGTAGGAAGCCCTCGTTGCGGCCACCACTCCAGTCCTCCCCCCCTCCTACTCCCCAGTCTCCCTCGTGGGGCCTCGTGGGACCTCGCTTTTGTTTGGGGGAGGGGCCCGCAGCCAGGACGAAAGCATGAGCAAACTAACATCCACTGCTTCTCGCTACATTGGCCTGCGTGGAATCTCGCTGGGAAAGTGGGGGTCACGAAACAGTGCGGTGCCAGACCGTGCGGTGACCTCGAAATCCCAAGAGACCTCACCGCAGGGTCCGTCACCGTACCGTTTGGGGGCCTTGGAGACCCCAGTCGCCCGAGGCATCCTCGGAGGACGGCCTGAGTCCCCAAATCGCGCGGTCACACCGAATCCCCACTGGCTCACCATACGGTGTGGCCACCGCACTGTGTGGGGGACCCCGTTAATCATCGCCTTCCACGCTGCGAAATAGTGCAACACCGCGACAAGTCACGACTGGAGCTCTAGACCCTATCGTTCTGCTCCAGTTGTCGAGCCAGATCGATCTGTGAGGGTCCCGGGGCCCGACGGGCAAGCTTGCCCGTGGCCGCCCCCAGGAGGGGTGGTGGCTACATCGGTGGGCACGCCAAGTAGGCCAACCGACCCCGCGCCTCGCGCGTTGCGCGAGTCGCAGGGCGCGCGCAGCCCTGCGCTCCCACGTCGCCCCGCCCAAGACCAGGCCGTGAAGCGTCCCAGCGCCGTTACCTTCGCGCCTTCGAGAGGTGGCCTGGGCATGGTCCAGGATGAGGATCGGCGCTGGGACCCGCAGGCTGCGACTCCGGCGCCGCCCCTGGCGCGCTCCCCGCGCGAGGAAGGGGTGGTTCACCCATCGCGCAGGCTCGTGCTTTGGCAACCTCGCCGTCTCCTTCTCCTCCACCCGAAGCTTCACACTTTGCAAGAATTTCACGGATTGAAAACGGCTCGTTCCAAAAATTCTGCTTGCACCTCAGAGACGCCCGCATACGGTTTTAAAATGTGCAAGAGCTTCACAGATGGAGGGCGGTTCCTTTTCAACATGTGGCTCTCGCCTGAGCGCTGCGCACAAAATTCGTCTGACACATTTGCAAGCGTTTTACGGGAACGCATATTGACCGTACAAAAACTGCGTTTGGGAAAGACTCAGGGTGATGATGGGCGCAACAGTTACATAAATTCGCGGTGATGAAGACCAAGGAATGGTGTTCTGCCACGATTCAGGATCGTCAAAACGCAACAGTGGCGCTGAAGCCCCGAGGGTTGTTTTGGTACGCTTCAGGACCTTCAAGCGGTTCACTTTCAGCGGGGCACTTACCTCAGTGGCAATGAATCCATGTAGGGGCCGATGAGAAGGGGTTTATTCCAAACATCCTTGATGAATATTTGGTTTACACTGGACCTCCTCCTCCTCCTCCTCCTCCAGTTTCCGTAAGACTGGCTCTTACCACAACATCCACCTTCGCTCCCCCCTCCTCGCGCGAACGCCAAGCATGCCGACCCTGAACCCTCCCTCTGTCCTCGTCCAGAATATGTTGCACGACCTGGCCTGCGTCCTCCTGCGGGCACACGAGGAGTGGAAAAAAGGGTGGCCAGGGATGAGGGAGGCGGGGGAGGACTATGGCTCCAAGTGTGCGCGACCCGCTTGGCCCCTGCCCAAGGCAAAAGGTATCAACAGACGCTGACGACCTATGTGCCCCAGAGGAAGCACTTGCATGATCTGCGTGTGTCGTCGCAGCAGGAGTATCATCATGATGGCGAGTGGCATAACCCGCTGGTGTGGCAGAGCGATGGATACACATGGAACGCTGGCCCTCAAACTGTACGTCCAGCCGTGCATCGTCGCAGGAGCATGATCATGATGATGTCATGACATGCGCTGGGGACGCGTCATGATGAGTGTGGTGAACGCCGTATCATGGTTACGAGTAGTAAGATGGTGAGCGTCATGAAAGCGAAACCGACGCGGTTTCGCCGAGAGCTGCGCGTCGAGCTCGGGCGCCAACGCGGCGTGCGAACCGAGGGTTTGGTCCTCCGAGAGCTGACGCGCCGAGCTGGCTGCGCCTCGCTGACTCCCACGCACGCCGACCGTCGGCGACGCGCAGATGGAAGCGGGGCGCAACGGAGGGCCTGCCTTCACACCACAGGGGCTGCCTTTGAAGCTGCTCTGCCTTCTTGGAAGCCATCTCGGAATACGTCCTGCCCACAGGGTGCCCCCGCTGGCCCCGCTGTCTCCTGCGCGCCGTCGACGCCGCCGCCCGCAGTAGGGCCGACCGCGCGAGGGCTGACGGACCACAGCCCACGAGGAGGGCGCGTGTCCAGCAAATCCTTGCCCACCTCCCCGCAATTGCGGATTCGACGAAGGGGCTGTCCACGTGGTAAGCGGAACGGTCGGGCACCGACGACGACAACAGCCCTGCACTACAACGCCAAGAATGTACACCATGCGGCCCTACATCAGAACCGATCCCAGAGACTGTTTCAGACCGTTCGGCCCCCTCACGAGCCCTCTGGACGGGAAGCCGTTCGGACGGGGATGTCGTGGTCATCTCCCCCTCGGCGCCACAGCGACAAAACATAGCATTGCGTGGGTCGAGCAGCACTTCGCCTGAGCTACAGTAAAGCACAGTTTCTCCCAACCGAACTGTCCGAAACCTGTGTTTCTCAAAATCAGCAGAAACATCATCTTGACGATGTTCACCACACAGCATTACCAATATTGCTGCGTGACCCCTGCAGGCCATTGTATCGCTACAAAGCGCGCGGGCAAGACCCCCCAAGACAAATGCATGTATCGGGCTGCTCCCTTCTTCTTCCTCCTCCAGAGCAGAACAGAAAGCGTACGCGTGCGCCCAGTGCGAGGACTACGCAGGAGAGGACGAGGAGGAGAGAGAACAGGAGGCTAGGGATGATCAAGATGAGGCAGGAGGGGGAAGCGGAGTAGGAGGGAGGAGGAGAAGGACTGAAGAGTGAGGAGAGGAGCAGGAGGAGGGAGGAGGGAAGAGGGTCGAGCGAGGAGGGAGGAGAGAGAAGGGAGGACGGGGGAGAGAGGGGGCCAGAGGGGCGGAGCGAGAAGGGAGGGCGAAGGGAGAGGAGGAGGGTGGCGAGGGCAGAGAGGAGGAGCCAGGCAGGGAAGGAGGGAGGGATCCAGCCAAGGGGCAGGCGCCGAGCAGGCTCGCCAGCGGCCCGACGTTCCTCCTAGCACCCTCGCCTCCCGCCGACGGACGAGCGAGAGAGGGACGCATCAAGGATCGAGAGCTGCCCTCAGGAGGCCCGCTTCGGGCCGTCGGGCTGCCCAAGAGTGAAGTCGGGCGTGTCCCCCTACAGGGGGATTTTCGACGAACAGAAACAAATCTTAAAATACTCCAAAAATGCTCCGCATACTATTTTCTTACTATCTTCAGATATTCCTCCTGTAGATGGACAAGCCCGACTTGACCCAAGACGCCCCCCACAGTCGCAGGCCGGTCGCATCGCAAGCGCAATCGACGCGGAGGCGGGGGATCGCCCCTGGGAGGCCCAGCATGCACGAAGAGAGGGTCCTGAGGGAAGCGGGTCCTGGACCCCGGGGCCGCCCCCCACGACCGGCTCTTCATCCTGAGTCGTTCTAAAACAAGTCCGGGCCCTGGCAGGGCCCCGAGAACCCGAGCACGGAAAACCTCGGGACCCGTTTCCCTCAGAACCCGGTTGCTTCATGGCCAGGAGGAGCGCGATCGCATCGATCGATCGATGCCGCGCGCCGGAACCGCTGGGCATCACCATCGATCGAGGGGAGAGCAACCCTGCCCGAAACTGCTCGAGCGGCGGACGCAGGCGCGGCTGACACCAGTTCCGCCAGCCCTCTGGGCGTTGGTGGTGTTTCACTAAGACCGGACCGCAGACGGCCAGCAAAACGTCGTCCTTTACATACCTAGTCCTTGTCGTAAGTATCATCACCACCATCATCATCACCATCATCGCCACCATCATGATACTCATCAACAAACCCATCGTCACAACCACAACCGTCCCATCATCGTCATCACCACCACCACATCATCATCATCATCATCATCATCATCATCATCATCATCATCATCATCATCGTCATCATCATCAGCATCAGCATCCTCATCATCACCATCGTCGTCAATGTCATCGGCATCATCATCGGCGTCATCGTCATCATAGTCATCATCATCATCATCATCAGCAGCATCATCATCATCATCAGCAGCATCATCATCATCATCATCATCATCATCATCATCATCATCATCATCAGATCCACCGACATGATCATCATCGTCGTCATTGTCATTGCCATCGTCATCGTCATCGCTATCGTCGTCGTCGTCATCGTCGTCGTCAGCAGCAGAAGCGTCATTGTCCTTCTAATCATCTCGCGTCCTTGCTATCCTCCTCCTCATCCTCATCCCTCCTTATCCTCATTCCTTCTCACTCTCCATCACCTCGTTCCTTTCTGATCCTTCATCCTCCTCTTCCTTCTCCTCCTCCTTATCCTCCTCGTCCGCCTCCCCTTCCTCCTCCTCAGCTCCGATCATCATCATCATCATCATCATCATCATCATCATCATCATCATCATCATCATCAGCAACAGCATCAGCATCATCAGCGTCATCATCATCAGTATGATCATCATCATCATCATCAGCATCATCATCATCAGCAGCAGCAGCAAAATCATCATCAGCATCAGCATCAGCATGCGAATAATCATCATCAGCATCATCATAATCATCATCACCACCATCATCATCATCATCATCATCATCATCATCATCATCATCATCATCATCATCATCATCATCGTCGTCATCGTCATCGTCATAAGCGTCAGAATCATCATCATCAGCAGCATCAGCAGCAGCAGTATCGTCATCGTCATCATAATTGCCATCGTCATCGTCATCATCAGCGTCAACATCATCATCATCATATCATCATCATCATCATCATCATCATCATCATCATCATCATCATCATCATCATCATCATCATCATCATCATCATCATCATCATCATCATCATCAGCACCATCACTATCAGCATCATCAGCATCATCATCGTCATCAGCATACTCAGCATCAGCAGCATCAGCAACAGCATCATCAGCAAAATCATCATGATCAACGGCATCATCATCCCCCCTCTTAATACTTCCCCTCAGCTGCCCATCAGCATCATCAGCATCAACATCATCATCATGGTCATCAGCGTCATCAACATCATCATCATCACCATCACCATCACCATCATCATCATCATCATCATCATCATCATCATCAGCAGCAGCAGCAGCAGCAGCATCATCAGCATCAACTGTCCTCCCCAGCCCCTCCTCGCCGCGGCGGCCGCGGCGCGGCGGCCCCCTGCTCTCAAAAGCGTCGCCATCGGCGGGACGTCGGCATCTTCTCCATCCGCAGGGGGGGGGGAGAGCCCAGACTCGAAGCGACACGTAAGTCAGATCGGAGGTCAAAATGAAGTCGGGAGAAGTCGAATCGGCGGAAATCGACAGGCTCGTGAAGCCGCCGTTGAGACGTCGACATCCGCTTCGGACTCCGACGCCGAATCTGAATCGGAATCGGCAGCCGTCGACATCGAATCAGATCGCACCGGAGGAGTCGAGGTGAGCCCTGGTAGGGGTGGGGGCTCCTCGCTGCCCGTGCCAGCGTCGGGCTGCTGGTCCCACATGTCTATCGCCACCTCGACTGCGCGCGCTCGCGGCGAGGCGCTGGGAGGAGCCGGCTCAACGGCAGGAGCAGCGGCGGCAGGCGGGGAGGGGGGGAGGAGGGGGGGGGGGGGGACGAGAGGGGGAGGCGATGAGAGGGGGCAGATGAGGAGAAGGAGAGGGGGCAGAAGAGAGGCAGACCCGAGAATTCAGAGGTCGGAAACCCTAAACTCCGGAGTGTAAGGATTTAAGCTCCCTGATTCCAGGGTGGGTGTCCTCCTCCTCCCCTCCTCCTCCTCGGCCGGAGCCTTCAGAAAGAGGAAAGGACGGAAGGAGAGGAGAGGAGAGGAGGAGGGGAGAGAGGAGAGGAGGAGAGGAGGAGAGGAGGAGAGGAGGAGAGGAGGAGAGGGGAAAGGAAGAGAGGAGAGGAGAGGAGAGGCGAGGCGAGGCGAGGAGAGGAGAGGAGAGAGAGAGGAGAGGAGAGGAGAGGAGAGGAGAGGAGAGGAGAGGAGAGGAGGAGAGGAGAGGAGAGGAGAGGAAAGGAGTGGAGGGGAGAGGGGGAGATTAGAGGCGAGGACAGGAGAGGAAAGCAGAGGAGAGGAGAGGAGGAAGAGGAGAGTAGTAGAGGAAGGGTGAGAGGGAGGGCAGAGGAGAGGAAAGCAGAGCAGGGGATATGAGAGGAGGAGAGGAGAGGAGGACATGAGGGGAGGAGAGGAGGGGAGGAGAGGAGGAGAGGAGAGGAGGAGACGAGAGAACGAGAGGAGAGGAGAGGAGAGGAGAGGAGGAAAGGAGAGGAAAGGAGGAGAGGAGAGCAGACGAGGAGAGATGGCAGTAGGAGAAGAGAGGAGAACATGAGAGGAGAGGAGAGGACAAGAGAAGAGGGCAGGAGGAGAGAACAGGAGGAAGAGAGGAGAGCAAAAGGAGGGTGGGAGAGGAGAAGAGGAGAGGAGACCAAATGAGGAGACGAGTGCCTGGAGACCAAAGAATCCAAAGTCGGGAGCCCGCACCTTCGGAGTTCCGGGCTTTCGGGCGGGACTCCTTTCAAAAAGCCCGAAAACAAGAGTTTCGAGTTCCTAGGCGCGACCGTTTCCCCTCATTCTCGTCCTCGTACTCCTCCTTCTCCGTCTCCTTCTCCTCCTCCTCCGCCTCCTCCTTCTCCCTCATCCCTTCCTCCCTCCTCCTCCCTTTCTTCTCTCCCCTCCTCCTCATGCTTCTTCTCCTCCTTCTCCTCCTCCTCCCGCCTCCCTTCTCCGCGAGAGCTCCCGCCTCCTCCGTCCTCCGCGAGAGCTCCCGCGCGCGCTCCACCACTCATCGTCATCGGCATCGTCATCATCGTCGTTATCATCATCGTCGTCGTCATGGATGGTTTCGTCGTCGTCATCACCCTTATCATCACCACCACCACCATCACCATCATCATAATCATCACCATCCTCATCATCCTCATCATCCTCATCATCACATCATGATCATGATCATGATACCGATTAGCATCATCATCATCGTCGCCAAGTCATTATCACGATCATCAGCAGCATCATCATCATCACCATCATCACCATCATCATCATCATCATCATCATCATCAGCAGCATCATCATCATCATCATCATCATCATCATCATCATAATCATCATCATCATCATCATCATCATCATCATCATCATCATCATCATCATCATCATCATCATCATCATCATCATCATCATCATCATCATCGTCAGCATCATCATCACCAAACAGCACGATCAGAGTCGTCATTAAGATCAAACCCATCATCGCCATCCTCATCGTCAACAGCAGCAGCAGCATGTACATCGTACTCGTCGTCTTCCTCCTCCTCCTCGTCGTCGTCATCATCGTCAACATAATCGTTGTCGTTAGCGCCACCATCATCACCAACATCATCATTATCATCATCATCACCACCAGCATCATCATCATCATCATCATCATCATCATCATCATCATCATCATCATCATCATCATCATCACCGTTTTCGTCATCATCGTCAATGTCATCGTCGTCATGTTCGCCATCATCATCAATATCATCATCATCATCATCATCATCGTCATCATCATCATCATCATCATCATCATCATCATCATCATCATCATCATCATTATCATGATCAGATTCATTATCATCATAGTCGTCGTCGCCGCAGTTGTCGTCGTCGTCGCCGCAGTCGTCGTCGTCGTCCTCATCGTCCTCGTCGCAGTATTCACTCGTCATCGCCAGCATCACCATCATTAGAATCGTCAACATCATCATCACCATTGTCATCGTCTCGTCAAGGTCATCATCGTCAACATCGTGATCACCACTACCATAGCCATCAACATCAACATCATCATCATCGTCCTCACCACCTCCACCACCATCGTCAGAAACATCAGCATCGTCGTTATCATCATCGTCGTCGCCATCGTCAACAACACCAGCAACATCATTATCAGCGTAAGCATTCGCGCCATCAGCATCATCGTCATCCTGATCAGCAGCATCATCATCATCGTTGTCAGCACCATAATGATCATCAGCATCATCGTCGGCATCAGCATCATCATCATCATCATCATCATCATCATCATCATCATCATCATCGTCATCATCCCTGTCGGCATCATCCGCATTATCATCATCATTATCATCATCATTATCATCATCGTCATCATCATCGTCATGCGTGTCGTCATCGGGGTCATCGTCATCGGGGTCATCGTCGTCGTCGGCACCATCATCAGCAGCATCATCATAACATGATAGACGTCTTCGTCCTCGTCCGTATTTTAACACACCCATCATCGTCATCAGCATCGTCGTCGTGTTTGCTATCAACCTCATCGTCATGATCATCCTGCGCATCATCCTGCTCCTCCTCCTCCTCCTCCTCATCATCATCACCCCTATCGCCATCGGAAGCATCATCACCATAGTCAGCAACGTCATGAGCACCAGCACCCCCCCCTCGCCGTCTTCACCGTCATCGTCATCATCAGCGTCAGCCTACCCATCCTCATCGTCGCCAAATCATCAAACGAAGCATCAAAATATGCGACATCATCATCATAACCATCACCCTGGTCATCCGTACCATCCTCACCGCTATCATCATCGTCGCAATCGTCGTCGTCATCATCGCAATCACAATCAAAATCAGCACCAGCATCAGCAACATCATCAACATCATCCGCATCATCATCGTCATCGTCACCAATATCATTATGACTCCCATCATCCTCAACATGATCGTCATCGTGATCGCCACCATCACCGTCAGTTTCCACATCTGCATCACCATCATCATCATCATCATCATCATCATCATCATCATCATGATGATCATCATCATCATCATCATCATCATCATCATCATCATCATCATCATCATCATCATCATCCGTACGTCGTCATCCCAACCGCAATCGTCATACAAATTCTCGTCATGGTCGTCGCCATCGTCGCCATAAGCATCAGCATCAGCATCAGCATCATCAACAGGATACACATAACCATCGTAACATTCATCGCCCCCACCATCATCCCCATAATTGTTCTTATCGTCGTCACCTTCGTCATCAGCATTGTCCTCATCAGTATCATCCTCGAATTTCTCATCGTCGTCGTACCCGTCGTCATCATCACCGTCATTATCGCCCTCATCACCTCCATCGACCTCGGCAGCGTCGCCGCCGTCATCGTCATCACCAACAGCGTCATCGTCACCATCATCAGCGTCATGTTCATCATCATCGTCATCGTCATCGTCATCATCTTCATCATCATCATCATCATCATCATCATCATCATCAGCATCATCATCATCATCACCGCCATCATCATCAGCATCAGCAGCATCGCCATCGCCATCGACATCGTCATCGTCATCATCATCAGCAGCATCAGCAGCATAACCATCATCATCGTCATCATCGTCATCCATATCGCCATGGTCATCGCCATTACCATCGTCACCCTCATCAGGAATGCCGTTGCCATCGTCGTCATCACGATGAGCATCATCATCCACATACTCATCGTAATGAGGAGCCAAAGAGCCGCCAAGGAGCCTGCCCCTAAACTCTGGAGTTTAGGGATTCTCACCTCCAGATCCCAGGGGAGTCGGAGGAGAAACCCTACACTCTGGAATTTAGGGATTCTCACCTCCGGATCCCAGGGGAATCGGAAGAGGAGAAACCCGAAACTCCGGAGTTTAGGGATCCAACCTCTGGGTTCCAGGGTTTTTCCGGAAGAGGGGGGCAGGGTGGATGGGGGGAAGGAGGGCGATGGGGGAGGAGGGGAGGCAGGCAGGCAGGCAGAGGAGGGGGGGAGGAGGGAGGAGGGGGAAACGACGGAGGGACGAGGGGGAGGGATGAGGGGGAGGAGAGAAGGGGGGAGGAGAAGAAGAGGAAGAAGTAAGGAGGAGGCAAGCAGGAGGAGTCCTAGGCTCACGATCGGTGCAAACGCCCTCCTGGCCAGGCCCGTCCAGGGCCGCAGATCGGTGTGCACGCCCCAATGGCCAAGCCTGGGAGGATTATCCCTGGCCAAGATCGGCGTGCTTGGGCACAGCAGGTTTAAGCCATGACGGGTTGGGCTCCAGCCCCCGTCGCCGAGTGAAGAAGCAACCTTCAATCAGATCCGCTCCCCAAAGGCGACCAAAGGCCTTCGATCTTAAAGATCTGCGCCCGAGCTGCCGCCGTGTGGAGACGATATGAGCCCGAAGGCCACTGTTGCCCCGATGATCAGGAAGGCGTGTATCAAGACAAGCTCTCGCTCGCCCACAGATGCCCCTCGGTATGTGGAGCGCGGTGACGCCGAGGTCCACTAGGAACCCAATTTATTATCCGCCACCGTGCCACTGGACACGAAGTGGGCGCGTCCTCAGGTCCTTCGCCGAATCCCCGGGCCTCAGTCCTCGAGCCTAAGGAATTTTGAAGGGACCAGGGCCCCAGATTGCCAAATCTTCTTGGGCTCGTCGCAGCTCCCCTGGGCTCTGGCGCATATTTCGCGTGACTTTTCGGGCCCAAGAGGGCCCCAAGACGGCCAAGAGAGCCCCAAGGCGTCCTGAAGACGGTCCAAGAAGGCCTCGAATCACCAAAAGATCGCTCAAAAACGTCCAAGATGGCCTCAAGACGGCCCCAGAAGCCTCCAAAACGCCCCAGGAGGCCTCCCAAGAGGCAAACATCAATGCGATTCCTGAGGTTGTTGAAGGATGTTAGCCTTTTCGCCTGTTCGGTTTCCAGACGCTCTCAGACGGCCGTCGAGGCCTCCAAGACCGTCCCAGGACGGCCCAGGAGGCCTCCAAGAGGGCCCCCCAACGAGGGCCCATGACGGCCCAAGAGGCGCCCAAGACGGTCCAAGAGGCATTGGCGACAAGGGCTCTCACGCGCCATCTTACGCGGGCAACTTACGCGCCACCGTCGGCGCAGACGACCCCGTTCAGGTCTCGGTCCTCGGTCAGGGCAAACTTCGGCTGCACGTGAGGGAGTGACCCCCTACAGGGGGGTTTTCGACGAAAAATTAAAAAAATACTCAAAAACATACTCCAAGATGGCCAAAAAATTATCAACAAATTGTCCCCAGACTATCTTTTGACTGTTTTTGAATACTCCTCCTGTAGAGGGACGGGGCCCGACTTGACCCTGGGCAGGAGAGTGACCTCTCGTGCGCGGCTCCCGCCGATCGCGGCGTGCGCTGCGGCCGCAGCGGCCTGCGTGCCTGGGTCTGGCCGCCCCGGCGACCCCTCCCCTTCGGGGATCTTCTGACCCGGGTCAATACAGACCCAGGTCAGCAGGAAACCAAAAACTGCAATGCAGGACAAAAAAAAACTGCACCGCAGGTCTTCGCAGACCCGGGTCAGCCAATACGCGCGGCCGCCTCGCGGCCACGAGCGGCTCCCTAACCCGGGTCAGCCAGAGGGGGTCTTCGCAGGATCCTGCAGGATCTGGCGCCTTGGCTGACCCCCGTCTGTACTGACCCCCGTCTCAAGGCTCCCGACCCCGGACGGCCGCGCACCGGCCCCGGCGACCCCTCCCCGGGCGTCCCTCCTGGCGGGTGCTTCCCCCCCGGGAGCGGCTCCCGACGGCCCCGGGGGCCCGAGGAGCCGGCCCCCGGACGCCGGAGGCGAAGAGGCCTCGACCTTCGAGCCTCGGGCCTCGATCTCCTCGTGGCCGCCAGGGTGGGGACGAGGAACGGCGACACCAGCACCACGGGGGCGAGGAGATGCGAGGAGGCAAGGGGGGTCTCCCTGGTGGTGCGGCCCCCCCCTCTCGCTCGAGGCATCCCCGGCCTCCAGCTCGGGGAGGCGTCGTGGACCTCCTCGCTGGAGGTGGGCCCCCTGGTGGTGTTGGTGTCGCTTCGCCTCCCTCCGACAGGGGTCTGAGGGAGGCGGGGGAGAATGACGACGGCGAGCAGCGGCTGTGCCCCGAGACGGAAGAAGCTCGCCCCCGCGCCCCCGCGCCCCCGCGCCCCCGCGCCGAGGCCTTGAGGACGTCGGCCAGCCCTCCCCGCCCGGGCGGGGCGCCCGGCGCCGACCTGGCAGAGCCGAGCAGGGCCGCATCGCGGAGTCGGCTCGGCTCGGAAGCGGATGGCATCGCCGGCAAGCTGTGCCCGATCGAATCGCAGTCGTCGGGGATGGACAGACCCCCCTTCAGTAGAACGTGGCTCGGTGAAAACGACCTCGGGCCCAAACCTGGCGGGCGCAAGCCTGGAAAAGGACGGCCGCGGCGCCCTCCCGAGCACCGAAAAAACGGACAACTCACTGATCGACGTGTGCGGGTGGGAGGTCTGCCCGCCCCCCACATCTAAAGGGGCCCCAGAACACACAAATAAATACACACAAATAAAAATATTCCCCATATTTTCTCATATTTCCTGGGTTTTTGTCTTCCCCCCCAATTCCCATATTTTCCCGTATTTTCCTGGGAATCGACGATTAATTGTGTCTGTGTGTTTCTTTTCCTCCTGATAGGAGGTCTGCCCGCCCCCCACACATCGGAGCGCCGCGCCCGCGGCTCCGGCAGGCCCGGGCCGACGCCGGTGCTGCGGCAACGAGCCGAGGCGGATCGGCTCTGTGGGCGAGGCTTAATTACGGCAGGCCCGAGGCCACGATCCTTCGTAAAACTAGACAAGGAACAGGCGCTCCTGATGCCACGATACCTAGTACGAACAAACACTGAGGATCAGCCGGATCGGCTCTGTGGGCGAGGCTTACGGCAGGTTCGTGCCGTGCCGACCCTGGCGCTGGCTCCTGACACCGCGCTGGATCGTTCAACCTGGAACGATCGGCCGTCTCCGCAGCGTCCGATCGTTCCACATCGACCGATTCTGGGCCGCCGTCGGCGTTCAACGTTGAACGTCGGCGGCGGGGTCGCCGCCGGTCGGCACGACGCGAACCTGCCGTAGACACCCGGGTCTGCTGGAAGCGAAGAGGTCTCGCAGAGTGGCGGGCGCCGGCGCCCTCTCCCGGGGAGCCTGCGCGGGCTCTGGTCGCATGCTGTCGTCACCACGCGCCGCAAAGGGCTGCCGTGTGTCAGTTGTGTTGTGAGCCAGCTGCTGTACACCCTGCGAAATGCTTAAGAAATCATGGGTTCAGAAATTCATAGTCTCAGAACTTGAATAAAAAACCCAAAATTTCCGTTCAAATCTTAGGATGTACATTGAAAAGTTAAGAATAATCGAGACTCTGGACGAAAACTTAAGTTTTCTTAAGCATCGCCTAAGGTGTATCCACTCGATTCGCAGTGGGCCTTCAAAGCAGACGTGTCAGGCATCGACGCCTGCCATTTCAAGTGCATGCGGAGAGTATTGAGCATTCTAAGTCCTCACATGTCTCGGGTCTCCAACGCCGATGTGCCAAAGAAAGCACGCGTGCAGCCGTTGTCGGATATCTGAAGCTATCGGCGAGCGCAGCCATAGGAGAAGATCGCCTCGCACGACGCAAGCTCACCTGCGCCGCAATTGGTGTGCAGTCCCGACGGCACGCCGAGGCGATGGGCCACCCAGAGGCGCAGAGGCCGTCCGCGACAACAGTGGGCGCATTCAGTATCACACTCGTTGTCCACCATCGTCATCATCCCGCGGGAGTGGCTCCTGAGCGCGCCTTGTCGCCTGCCGCCGCTCTCGCGGATCTGCGGTTGGCAATATCCTTCATTTTCCTGCCAACGCGTCCACTCGGATGCAAGGCCACTGTCTGTCTGTTGGACTTTCCGGGAAGGGGCGCCAAAAGGCCGAGGCGCAATGGATATGGATAAACATACAGCCTCTGGGGGCCATGTTGTTCTCCACATCCACGGCGCCTCGGGATACTGGTGGGAGAGAGGCCGAAACTTCAAGATGGGATCACTCGAGAAGGGTCACTGGGGAAGGGAGGCCAGAACTCCAAGGTGCAGTGGATCTGGATACAAATCTTGCCCGCAGCATCGGCTCGGGGGGCAGGGGGGGGATCTTCGAGCCCAAATCGGCGGCGCACCACCGATCGATCAGCGGCAGCCCCCGGACGGCAAATCCGCACGCTCCTGGGTTGGCCGGGGCCACTGCGCCCCGATCGGCGAGCAGTGGGTGATTGGGGGTCGAGGCATCACCCCCCCCCCCTGAGCTAATGCTGCCCCCATCGTGCTTAAGGACCACATCCCAGAAATCGTTTCGGGCACCCAGAAGAGTATCGAAACAGTGTCGAACGGATATCGACTCCCAGGGCCCGACGCGTGAAAAAAATCCAAGTTTCGGTACTCTCTTGGTGCTTAAATTCTGTCTGGTGGTCAAGGCTGAAGCAGGTTGGAACATCATAGCCCTGAGCCAGTCCCCCGAGTGAGCCTCGGCGTCTGGCTGTCGGGTTGTGACTCGGGCCTCTGGCGGCCGCTCGTGGCGATCGGGCCACCCCCACAGCGCTCTCGACGAGGCGCTAGCTGCTGGAGAGCAACCCGAGGCCGGAAGACCGCCGGGAAGCAACTCACAAGTCTGAAATAGAGCAGAAGAACTGCGTAAGCATAGGATTTAGATGATCCGCGGCGCCGGAGGCGCCTCCAGGGGAGCCCAGAGCGAATGCGACGAAAAATGGTCTGTGCCTCTCTCGCCTTCTTATGTCTTCTTCTTTTTCTGCGACGAACGCCTCCGACCTCGAACCTCCCTGAGCCCATCCCCTCCCTGCCGTTCTGCCCCGGGGCGACCTGTCGGCGGACAGCGACAGGGCGCCCGGCACGAGGAGCGCCACGGCCAGCGCCGCCAGCACGCGCCGGCGGGCGCCCCCGCCGCGAGAGAGGTTCATTAGCGGGTCTGCATGACGCAGGAGGGGACCAGCTGCGCACCCAGATCTCCGACGGTATGCTTCTGAGCACCCCCCAAGTCTCTCACCGATCTCGGGATCTGGGGCTCGTGCTCGGGCCTGGGGGCCGTCACAAAAGGATCTGAGACGAAAAACGACCCCTGGGGGAAGGTGCTGGGACCCCTGGAGCCGCGCATCGGAACAACAACAACAACAACAACAACAACAACAACAACAACAACAACAACAGCAACAGCAACAGCAACAGCAACAACGACAACAACAGCAACAACAACAACAGCAACAACAACAGCAACAACAACAACAACAACGACAACAACAGCAACAACAACAACAATCACAACAACAACAACAACAACAACAACAACAATCATTTTACCCGAACGCGTGGTGTTCTCCCCAGTGCCAGGGTTTTCATACGACACCAGGCAATACCCCCACTTCGTGGGGGGGCATTACAAGCTCTACCAAATATCCAAACGACTCTTCGCGACCACCCAAACCCAGCTTCCCGCCCTATGACGTTGGGACACTTCACTTCGTGGCGTGCGGACGACCGTGGCTACTACACTGGCGTGGGGTACACACCCACAGAACTTGGTCACTTATTCGGGGCGCGCATGTGCCCAGCATGGTGCAATTGTGCCATGCTGGGCGAATGTGTCCCGCATGGTATTATTTGACAGGGATGATGGCCCTGGCAGGTGCGCAACCGTTGTCGCAGAAGTTCGAAAAAGTTGCTCGCAAAAGCCCGTTTGACAGAAATGTTTAAAAAGTGTTGGTTTTCCTACGAATCCGCAAGAGCGCGCGGGATGAGATTTTGACATTTTTTTGTTGAAAAACCATTGGTTTTTTGATGTTTTTATGTTAAAATCGCTCCGAACACTAAGCTTTTGGAAGGATTTCGTCTTGCGCGCGCGAATGTCCACTTTACCTTATTTTTTGCAAGGGATTCTTGAAATTTGATTATATTAGAACAAGAAATGTCATTTTATAGTGTTTTTTGCAAGGGAAAGCGGGGGGGAACAAAACAACCGGATCTTGATCACATCGAATTACCTGAGGCTTCCTCACGAAAATGATGAAAATGTAGCTGCGGCCTAGGCGGCGCAGGGGGGGCGTGCACCAGGGGGCCCAACAATAATTATTCTTTAGAATTAATAATGTTCAACAACGACAACAACAACAACAACAACAACAACAACAACAACAACAACAACATCGTCGGGAGTTTGGGCACCACGCTGACCCTGGCTTTGGCACGCCCAGAGTGGGTACATACGGGAAAATTAGGGGAACGAAAAATCACAGAAACACAGACACTCTGAGGTCCGCGCGGACCTCCAAGCTTGCATGTTTGTGTCATTCTTCGTGCCCCTAGAAAATGGGTACGATGCCCGGCAACCAGGTGTTGTCCAAAACCCGCAGCTGCAGCTGCTGCGCAGGCGACCTTCTCTCTCAGATGGACAACGTCCGCGGCGGCACCGGCAGCGAGCCCTGCTCAGACTGGACAGGACCTGCTGCCCGTCTTCGTCACCCTGCTTGCTGTCCCCATTTCGATTCTCTAGGCAGCCAGGCCCAGGCCCCGGTGCAAGCGCCGCCCAGTCCGACCGGGAGGGCCCATGGACCGATCCGTGGGCGTAAGATCGGCGCGTCAGAAGGCAGCTCCTCGACGGCGTTCGCAGCAACGGCCGAGGAACCAGAGGCTACGAAGCCTCACGTAAGCCGGATCAGCCCCGATGAAGCAATAGAAAGCAAGTGATCGGGCCAGCTTACGCTGGGCAAGAGAAGTCGTGGAGGAAGCGAGTGAGATCTCGAAATGGGGGGTGCGCAAGGCTTGGCCTTCGGGGCAGATGGTCGATGGTTCAACCGTTCTTGACTCGGACCAGGTAGTTCGAAACCAAACGAGTCGTGTACGCCGACACCGATCCACCTGGGGTGCTGACTGCCTCCCAGGCAAGATCCTCCAGCGAAGGGTCTCGAAATGTGTCGCCGCGTTCGCCCGCCTGGGCCCTCCACAGGCCCACAGGGCTGTCAGCCAACGGCTCGGGAGGAAGACCTGGCCCCGGGAGAAGCCCCGGCCGGGGCCTTGGGCCCGATTCCCCTCGGGAACTCGCCCCCTCGGCCACGGCAACAGCTGCAGACATTGCCGCCCAGCCGACCCCACGGCAGCGTGATGAGTGCTGCTGCGACAGGCTGTCGGGGGGGGGGACAGGCAAATGCCCGCCCCGCGACCCCACGGACATCCTCAGGGGTGCGCTCTGGACAGGATCTCCAGCCGCACCCAGCCGTGACGACGAGGGCCCTCCAGGACGAGCAGCGGCATCCGTGGCTGCTCCCCCTCTCAGACCCTACCGTCCGCCGACGTGCTCTCGTCAATCCGCGGCCACAGAGGTCCCGACAGCTTCCCAAGGCACGGTGTTTCGCCTGGGATCCATCCGTGATGGCACTGGGGCCCGATAGCTGGCGGCCCCCGAGAGCCGAAACCGAGGCAGAACGCCCGAGTCGGAGTAGCCACACATCGTCGGAGATCTGGATATCCTCTCCTCCTCTGGGGATCACGGATCAGCGGGAGGGGCAGTCCACAGCATGCCAGAGAAGCTCAGAGCGGGCGCGGCGCACGGCGCAGGCGGCGCTGTGGCGTAAAGCGGGAAGCCAACCCCCCCTACTGAAATTGAAATGGTCCTCCGTTGTGTGACACAGCTCATGCACGCAGCCGTGCGCAACAGACCAAGCCTCGAGCACAACCCCAGCCGCTCCCGAGACGAATAAAGGGGCCCTGGGACACACAAGTAAATACACACAAGTAAATACACACAAATAGCAGGATTCCCCATCTCTTCCCATATGTTCTGGGCTCTTGTCTCCCCCCCACTTCCCATATTTCCCTACATTTGCTAGAGAATCGACGATGTATTGTGTCGGTGTGTTTTTTCCCCCCTGACACACTTCTGGGACCGGGCCCGGCCAGGCCTGGCGCTGCCGTGCGCGGCCGGCGCCCCCGCAGGCTCTGCCCCTCGCCCGTGGAGCACGGAGCGCTGCCGGCGGCCCCGCGCGCGGCCGCTCGAGCCCACGGCTCGCCGACGACCGACGACTATCGACGACGAGGACGACGACGACGACGACGACGACGACGACGACGACGAGGACGACGAGGACGGCGACGAGGACGGCGACGAGGACGGCGACGACGACGGCGACGACGACGACGACGACGACGACGACGAGGACGACGACGTCGTTTCGGAGGATGTCTCGGGGGCTTCTGGGCGTTCTCGCCGAGAGGAGGCCGGGGATCGATCCTCAACGGATCTGGACCACAGCCACTGCTCGTCGTCGTCATTATCCGACGCTGAAGATCGAGAATCGACGTACGTAGAAGCCGTGCCATGACGGCACATCGGCAACAGTGCGATTAGCCAGAGTGAAACAGCATACTGTCGTACAGCGGCTTTCCACGTCGTGAAGCAGCCACTGTCTCTGCCCAGAGCGGCGGACAAACGATGTTCGTCTCCACCCACGGCCCTGATCGCATGCATTCTGGTGCTGTGCCCCCAAGAAACTCTTGGACGCCCTCGCTTTCGCACGCCGGTTGGCCGCGCCAGCTGCGTTGACGAAGGTTGGAAAATTGATCTGCGAACAGTGCTGGTGTCTGGCATTAGTGCTACTTTTCCAAACAGGCACAATTGCTTGGCAATCAGCTGCGCTGCCAACGGGCGCGCCGAGGCAATGTCCAAAACCCTTTCGTTGGACACTCTCGAAATCATGGGGCGCGGTATCCCCCAAATCTTCCGTAAACAAGAAACGTGGAATGAATTAATTCGAGAATATTCCGCTTTATTTAATCGCTCTCTCTAAACTGTACAAAAGTTTGGAGACGACGCACGCCTCGTAAATCCTCTGCTTCCTACTCCTGCTCAGAGAATTTCGGCACCTCGTGGCCCGCTTCGGGCCCCAGGACCGTCAAACATGCATCCAGGGTAAAGCACCGCCCGAGAGGGACCCTGGGAGAGTTCGGGGGATCAGTTTTGAGCGGATGTTGCCTGCTGCTGGGGAGATCAAAAACGACCCATACAGCTACTCCCCGGACCTCTACTGGGGTACGAAAGCGAATCCAGCGGTGGCGACGAGGACCCCCCAGGATGCCCCAAAGGGGGAAAACGAGGGAAGGGTAGAGGTATCGGTGCCTCTTCCTCCTCTGAAATATTTCGGGGGACCAGTTCTGAGCGGATGTTGCCTTCTGCACGTAGGAGTGGAGTGACCTCTGGTCCGCTGCTTTTTTTTTGATTTTTTTTAAACAAAAAAAACAAAACACAAAAAAAAAAAAAAAAAAAAAAAACTCTGGTCCGCGGTTTTTCGTGGGGCACGGAGCGGCTGAACCAGAGCAGGCGGGCCGCTACGGCCGCCTCGCACGCCACGGTCGGCAAGCCGCGCACCGGAGATCACTCTCGAAGCCGAATCCCAGACGAGGATCCATTCGAGCGAGAATACATCGAGAATCTCTGTGATCCAGAGGCTCTAGAGGATGTATCGTGATGGGCAGATTTTCCACCACCACTACCATATGTAGGATGAGGTCCTCCTCCTCTTCCTCCTCCTCCTCCTCCTCCTCCTCCTCCTCCTCCTCCTCCTACGTATGGTAGTGGTGGTGGAAAATGCCCTGGGCATATCGGGCACAGCGAGCTTCTCAGAGCGGTATGGAGCGCTCTGAGAGCGTTCCAGAACGCTCTGGAAGGGATGCACCCTCGTCCCAGTCCCGCCCGACTCTAGTCTGGGGTCACTCTTGCGTGCGGCCGAAGTCGGCCGGGATCGAGGGGCCGAAGCTGCCCAGGACCAGGCACCGAAATCGAGGATCGAGGATCAGGGCGGCCGGCGTTCCTCCGCGTCGGGGGCACGTCTCTGGCCCAGGGGGGCCCGCAGAGGCAGCCCCTTGACGTGATGTCCGCCCCGCGGGTGGGAGGGTAGGCGTGAAATCCTCGTCGACCGTGGTTATTTATCTAGGAATGAAAACCTAGGTTCGTTATCTGCAGATGATACCCTATGGATGATCGTCCTGTGAATGGATCGGGCTCATCCCCCCCCGGCCGAATCAATACCTTTCCAGAATCAGCAGCCTAAATTCAATATTCCAACATTATGAACCAAAGTTTATTTCAGGCCGGAACGTAACCCCAAACGGCGCATCCCAGGTTCAATCATTATCATTCCGAAATGATGAACCCCGGGTCAATAACCCAAGAAAATTATTAATCCGGGTTTATTATCTCTGGGAGATAATGAACAGGGGTTAATATTCCAACAAGAAAAAACTGGTGAGGAACCCGGGGGGGTGAGGGAAAATAAGAATTACTATCATTCCGGAATGACGAAAACCGAGCTCATTCTTCCCACGGCATTGTAAACCACAGTCAATATTCCCGGAACAGTATGAATCCAGGTTAACATGTTTTCGGGGTCGATATCCCCAGAACATTAGAAACCAGGGTTTAGAATGTTCCGGGGGGAACATCATGAACCCCAGTCAATATTCCCATCACACTTAAACCCAGGTTCAGAATGTTCCGGGCGAGACAGTATGAACCCTGGTCAATACTCCCAGAACGATGTAAACCCAGGTTCATATCTTTTTGAGGTCCATCCTGGCGGGTGGGGTGGAAAGCTCTGGAGCCCGACGACCTGAGAAGGTCAGGACGTCGGACGTCCAAGCCACCATCTCGAGGAGCAACAGAAAATGGCATAAACATGAACCTGCGGAGCTCCGCACGGAGTGCTCGGAGCGGCGCTGGGCCCCCTGGCGGCGCCGCCCCTGGCGCGCCAGCCGCGCGCCAGGAAGCGAGGCTCTGGCGCCAATCCAAGAAATCCGCGCGGACCTCCGAAGGTGTACACCCTGCGAAATGCTTAAGAAATCATGGGTTAAGAAATTCATAGTCTCAGAACTTGAGTAATAACCCAACATTCCAATTAAACTCTTACGATTTACATTGAAACGTTAAGAATAATCGAGACTCTGGCCGAAAACTTGGGTTTTCTTAAGCATCGCCCAAGGTGTACGCGTTTGCGGTTGTTTCTCCTCCGGCCATCCCCAGGGCAGTGGCAGTAGTGGCTGGCCCGCAGCGAGGAGCTGCCCGGCTCGTCACCTCCAACCGCTGCAGCACCTGCGCTCCTCGTGTGGAGGCTGAGCGGCAGGACAGTCTGAGAGGGCACACAAGAGAACAGTGGCTTGACTGTAGCTCGCCTGCCGGGCTTGGACGGCGGCCGCCTCGAGACGGCCTGCCTGCGCGCCAGGGCCAGGATCGCGATGCTCAATGGCTTCAACCTTGAGCGATAGTGGGAAGGTGAGCGCGGGAGAGCATCCGTGGTGCAGCCCCCAGGGCCCAGTGGGACCAGTGGGAGGTCATATTTCGTTCTTCGCGGCTGCCCTCGCGTCGTGCCTGCGCTGGACGGCGGGAGCGGGACAGCATCCGTAGTGCAGTCCCCAATGGGACCGATGGGAAGCCATAACTCGTGCGTCGCGGCTGCGCCCGCGCCGTGCGTGCGCTGGACGTTGGGAGCGGGGGAGCATCCGTGATGCAGCCCCCCGGTGGCAGGTCATGGTGCGTGCTTCGCGGTGTGGCTCGCGCGCCCACGGGCCGCATGATGTGCGCGGGCTGCGGGGCGGGGTCATGCTGCCACCGCCGCTGTTGCCACCGCTGCTGCTGCTGCTGCTGCTGCTGCTGCTGCTGCTGCTGCTGCTGCTGCTGCTGCTGCTGCTGTGCGACCGTCCCGCATCCTCCTGCAGCTGATCCTGGCCACGCTGCTGAAAGTAGGCACTACGCGGCACCATGCGTCGTCTTCCGATAACTTGTACCACTGACTTGCCGCCCAGGAGCGATCTTTCAAAGCGGCATCAGAAGTGTACTGTCTCCACTCGACGGTAGGAGCAGGGTTTCGCACCGCCACCCGCTCCCGTTGCCAGGCTCTTTGGAGCGACCATCGGCAAGGACCGCAAAGGTCGACGGGTCGCGACGGTCGCCCATGGGATCACCTCTACGGCACCACTGTGGATTGAGGCACGACTCAGTGACGAGTGGAAATATCGTAAAAGTCCTCTCTACAAGGTTGCTGGACGGGCTCCGTGGGTGCCGACCACTGCGGCGCTTCGGCCGTTGCGGGTTGCCTGTCGAATGTCGCCTTGGGGGCTTTTGGCAGCGGGGGCGTTGGAGCACCGCGTTTCCCACCCAGCGCCACTGGGGCTGCTACTGATCTGTGTTGAATGCTGCTGCTCGATGCCATCAACTTACATGCGGCACCGCCGATGTATACACATATCGAGTAGCTTCACTTTGTGGGACCACTCCAGAGTTCGGGTGTTCCACCAACCAGCGCATGCTGCTGCTGCTGCTGCTGCTGCTGCTGCTGCTGCTGCTGCTGCTGCGGCTGCCACTGCTGCTGCTGCTGCCACTGCTGCTGCCACTACTGTTCCCCACACCCTTCTACGACGGCGGCGGCGATGGGCTGTCTTGGGCGATGCGGCGAGGAGGTCTAATCAGGACAGGTGAGGTCCAATCGCGTCCAAGGCACTGTGTGCGAGGGGAGGTCCGATGTGATCGAAGCTCAGCGTGTCGGGATGGAGGACCATTGCGTGGATGGCGAAATTGGGGGAATTCCACTTGCCTGTAGGTCGAACCGCAAGGAAATGCGTCCTTGAGGGGCTTCCCCAGGAAGGAAGGGTCGGCGGAGAATGAAGGCAGGCTCAACCGCGAGAAGGTCGCCATTAGAGAAGGGGTGGGCACGTGTGCAGATGTCTGGGGAGGAGGTGCGGAGGTGAAAACGGGCCCTGGACCCCGGGGCCTTCCCCTGGAATTCGGTCTTCATCCTGTGTCGTCTCCTGAAGGGCGCCTGCGGCCCAGGGAGGGCCCCAGAGCTCGAAGACGGCGAGAAACCTCAGAGGCAGGTTCCCTCGGGACCCCTCTCCTTCGAGGTGACCCAGTGGTGGCGGCGGGGTGGACGGCCCTGGCCTCGGCAAGCGCAAAAGGCGTTTCTGAAGCGAGAAAGGATATTGTCACGGGATACAGCGGGCTGGGCCTGCCAGGAGTTGAGGGATCAGGAGGGTGGGCCCAAAAACCTGTGCGAGTGTCCAGATGGGGGGTCCAGTGATGGACGAGCTCCCATCGCGGGGATGTCGATTCGTGTGCAGGTGCCTCTAGAGCATCTACAAACACTGGAGCGGGTTACAAGATAACCAACGCAAACGAGCGACGCCTCTTGGAACACGAGTAAAAACGTGTTGCGACATCGCCAGTTGATGGCGGGACGACAGAAATAGAGAATCAGAGAGAGGAAAACACAAACAAAGCCTGCCGAAGCGAGGGGAACAGAGGGTTGAGGAGCTGGACGACGGCGAGGAAGAGGAGGGGGAGGGGAGCAGCAAAAGACTGGGGGCGGAAGGGAGGACAGAGGAGGGGGACAAGGCAGACGAGCGCGTGACAGATCTGCCGTCCTGCCCCTCCCACCCATCCCCTGCCGTTGCCTTTTGTCGCCTCTGTCTGCCAGTGGTCGTCACAGCGGACATAAGCATCTGAAGTGGCTCCATCATGTGATGCGCAATCAACAAAGAGGACTATGCACACTGGAGGAGGAGGAGGAGGGGGAGGAGGAGGAGGAGGAGATGCAAGCCGAATGAACACCGCGGTGGCGGACGAGCATTAGGACGAGCAGGGATGAGCAGAAGGAGGAGGAAGAAGGAGGAAGCAGGGATGAGCAGAGGGATGAGCAGAAGGAGGAGCAGCAGCAGGAGTAGGAGCGGGAGCAGCAGGAGGGCCAGGGAAAGGCGGAAGGGGAGGGGAAAGGAGGGGTGCGACAACAATGAAGGAATCGGATCCAATGGCCAGCGCTGATGCAAGAGCGCCGTTCTGAACGACGGAAGCACAGCGCCGATCCTGAAATGAGGCCATCGCTATAGCGGGAGCACCAGTTTGGAAAGCACAGAAAGCGCACGATCAAACACAATGCGCTCGAAGGTGGTATGGGGAGGAAGGAACCCCGCTCGCACAGCATCCAGGGAGAGAAGAGAGGTATCAGGTACTCGCGACGGGGGAAGCGAAGGGAGAAGAGGAAAGGGCGAATACAGGAGACTAGAGAGAGCGAGGAGGGGGAGGGGAGGAGGAGCAGGAGAAGGAGGAGGAGTAGAGTAGGAGGGGGATGAGAAGGAGAAGGCGGACTACGAGGAGGCGGCGGCGAAGAAGAGAGAAGAAGGGGAGGAGGAGGCGGACGAGGAGGAAGAGGACCAATGTAAATTCAAGACTCACCAACGATGTTGGAATACGCCCTCCCTCCGAGCTCCCACTTCATAAGCCCCTAGAAGAGCTCATCCCACTGAAGGAAATGCCCCGTTGGGGGGGGCAACCATGTTAAACTCCTGACGCGTGCCAAAGTACACCCTGCGAAGTGCTTAAGAAATCATGGGTTAAGAAATTGAAAGTCTCAGAATTTAAATAAAAACCCAGAATGTCCATTCAAATCTTTGGATTTACATGGAAACATTAAGAATAATCGAGACTCTGGCCGAAAACTTGGGTTTTCTTAAGCATCGCCTAGAGTGTACCATTCTCAGGACTTAGACGCCACGAGTCAGCCAGACTGTCGCGTCTCGACGATCTTCAATCGTGCCAGAACAAGCTTCCTGCAACTTCAACACCGCGAATCCACGTAACTGGTGCGTCCTGACAACCAGAAAATGTCCAACACACCCTTTCTAGTACGTCAACCATGAGAAGCATTTAAACTCCTATACTGTTTCAAACCGAATGTCCGCGTTGCATCTGTTACAGAGAATTGTCCGCGGCGCTAACGTGAGAACCACAATTTGAAAACCACCCGCGTCGCATTGTTTAACGACGAGTGTGCGCGTCGCTAAGGCGAGAACCACATATTAAAAACCACCCGCCCTCAATCCGCGAAATGCTTTCAACTTGTTCAATGCGGATGTGCGCGGCGCTAAGGCGAGAGGTACATTTAAGAAGCGGCCCGCCCTCCGTCTGTGAAACTGTTGTGATATATAATGTAAAGCAATATCAGGCGAAACGCCTGGTCCGCCCTCCCGACTAGCCTCCAGGTGCGACAAAGAAAAAATATCTCGTAAGGAAAATGGTGAGGAGAGGGAGGAGGAGAGAAGAGGAGGCAGAGGACGGAGGGAGGGGAGGAGGACGGAGAGAGGGGAGGAGGACGGAGGGATGGGAGGAGGACGGAGGGAGGGGAGGAGGACGGAGGGAGGGGAGCGGGAGAATACACGCGGGGAAGCGCGAAGGGATCTGGGGGCACCGGGGGCGCCGGAAGAGGGGGGCGCGCGCAGGAGCGCGCGCGGGGGGGCTCCGTGGCGTCGTGCTCCGCGCCCGCGGCCACGCTGCCGAGGTAGCCCGCAAAGGCCTCGTGTCCAAGGCGCCGTGGGTCGGTCGTGGGCAGTCGTTGGTCGTCGCCGCCGCCGACGTCGACAGCATCGGCACCAGCAACAGCACCATCATCATCCCCATCGCCATCGTCGTCAACATCGTCCTCGTAACTGCCCCCATCACCATCACCATCATCAGCGTCATGGTCACCATCACCATCACCGTCATCGGAGTCATAGTCGTCAGCGGCTTCTCCACGCGCTCTTTCCTTGCTCAAACTCCACCAACGATGTCTGCTCCGCCTCCTTCTGCTCCTCCCCCTCCTGTTCCTCGCACTGGATCTCTGGAGGAAGACTAATGTAGGACGGAAGGAAAAAGGGACGAGATGGAGGCGGCGGAGAGAGGGATATGAGGACCCATGTCCTCAACTTGGTAGGGATTCGAATGGACCAAACATCTAGGGCGCAACTCGGGACATCGGGAAACATCGTAGACCTGCAGCCTGCCCACTCGATATCACAATCTTCGACGTTTTCCATCGCCGGCGGAGGATTGCTCACCCAACGCGCACTTGACAAGGACGTCTACGTCAGCGCTCAATTCTCTCGCCCTCCAATCAACAAGCTCCATGCATACGCCTTTCTGGCCGCAAGGGCCCTGGTGCCATTGACAGAGATCTGGTCGCACACTGTGGAATGTATGTTCGCGCGCTGGGTGGGTCAACGATTGCGCGGCATTCACGAGTTCCGTAATCAACAGCTTGTCCACGACAAACTCCACATTCACCGCGCGGCAAGGGACGCTCGTCCAATCTATAAGGCGGGGTCGGGCTCAGAATTGTTCTGCAAGATTCCTGCTGCGTCAAGCCAAATAGAGAAGGGGCGGCTCCGGGAGATTCAGTACTTCACATGTGTCGAACGTGTAACGCAATCCCGCACATGGTCAATCGTGCAACGCAATCTCGCACATGGTCGCGCAGATGGCCCTGCAGTTCCAGCCTCCAATGCCATCCCGAGGTGTTGACCATGAAACCCTCGGCGATGACGCGGCTCCCCAAGCTAGAAAGAACGAGATCATGGGCTTATTGTCTCCGCTTGCTGAGGCTGGTCTTCGGTAGACCCCACCCCAGGCCATGCACCGTTGTACCCACGCCGAGTGTTGGCGCCAGCTCGCCAGAAGTCTGCGATAAAGCATCGCTCTTTTTGGTGCCCTGCACGATGGGGCCCCGAGCCGGAACTTACGCCTCGCCCGCCCGTCAAGGCCCGCCCGCCAGACAGAGTCCACAAGCTCGAACCGCCCCGCACGCTCGAGAGATGGCCCCGCGCAGCAAATCATCGCGCGCTAGGTCCCGTACTCCTTGCCGTCGCTCGGACGTCCATTTCCCGTGTATGTCTCGGTTTCGTGCGTGTTTTTGTTTGCTCGATGGTCCAGGATGGTCCATGGTTCTCGCCGAGAGAAAATGCACACGTCCGAGCGATGCCAAGGTACTCTCGTGCCCCGCCCCCTCCTCGCATTCCGGGCCCCCCCCCGCCCGACCCAGCCGCGCGAGCCCGCCCGCCCGATCCGACCCGCCCGCTCGCGCAGCAGTCCCACGCGATGTGATGTCGCACGGTGGCGTCCTCGTGCTGCAGCGCCCCGCACAGACCGATGGAGGTACTGCCCCTCATCCTCCAGCTGCTGCCCGCCGCAGCGGTCACTCTTCCACCCAGATCTGTTCGGACCAGAATCACGGCAGCTTACAAAAATGAGATCTGAGCTTGGAGCTGAGGCCCTGAATGCAGAACGGCAGCGCGGCGATTGCAGTCCAGGCCGCCTTCCTCGGGCCGACGCAGCGGGAGCACTTGTCTGAGCCATTGGCCGCCTTGCTCAGCCCGACGCAGCAGGAGCACTTACTCACGCCGAACAGCGCGGAGGCCGCCGCACCCGAACTCCATACTCTCCGCGTCTCTGGCAAGGTCGGGGCGCCACGAAGCGCGCTCGCACTTGCCAGGAGCAGCCCTCCGATTTGCACCGGCTGTGCTCGACACGCCTCCGCGCGGGGTCGGTCACGTCCAGCATGTTACCCAATAACCCCACATTGTGCACTCCGCAGAAATTCCACGGGCTACGACTTGCTTGCAACGTGAACGATTCAGCGCCCAGGCCTGCAACGGAACCATTTCCCGCGAAGAAATGCTCCAGCGAAATGAACTTCCTGGCCGCAAGCTCGGTGCGCATTGTGCGAAATTGATCCCAATCAGTTTGCATGCGCACGACACATGTTGCCAGACCGAATAAGGGCCGCTAGCGCCCAACAATCAACTGAGGCTCGGAAACCGTAAGCTCGAGAAATCCCGCCAGAGGCGAGAGGGTCGATAAAGGTGTCCAGGAAGACGATTAAGTGGTCAGGTGTCTCTGCGCCGCCTGTCCCGCCCCCCCCCCCCACTCTAAGCAAAACTTGACAGTCTCGACAGCCTCTGGTATGCAGAGGATGTACACGGTGATCCAGACAACTGCTTACACGATGTTCGTGGCCTGTGGAGTCGAAAGGCGTTGCGCCATGCCGACTCCCCACAATCAGAGGCAGATCCCATCGGTGCGCTAAGCACAGCTAAGTACAGCGTTGGGAGCCATCGAAACGTCTGTGCTGCATAGACCCTTCTTGAAGCCGAGGCTGCTGTGCACAGCGCTCCCTGGCAGGCCTGCGCGGAATCGTCTGAGGATGCTTCTGCTAAACCATCTCGCATACGATCAAGCTCTGCGATCCAAAGGACAAGTCGTATGAGCCCCAGTGGACCGTCTTGCCGAAAAATCAGATGTCCTATGATGTCCGTCCAGGTCGGCGGGTCCTCAGAAGTTACGTCCTGCAGCCGCAGCTGAAAAGATGCCGCAAACAAACGACGAGCTGCAACGGCAAGACCCTGTACACCTCCGAAGGGCAGCCAACGGCGCCTCGCTGGATCCAAGCTTGATGTTGCAATTCCCATGCAAAGAAACATAAAAGAACAGAGGAGGTGTGCTGCCGTCCGAAGCGCCCATCCTCAGATATGTCCCACATGGTGTGAAGCCCACTGCGTTGAATTGAGAAATCGTTCTCCCTGCTCCCGAAGCGCGCCCTTCCCAAGCCCAGCGTCGGGGGGAACGAAAGAGGGGATAGCAAAGGGTAGGGTAGACAATCAGCTCACGTAGCTGATTTTCCCAGCGCCCCCTGGCGCCGGGAGGCGCCCATGTATCGAGGAATGGGCCCGGCGGCGGGGCCGAAACCAGCTGCATGCAGCAGATTTCGTAACCCCCCCTTTCTATATCTGCCAATTTCGTTTGGCCCGACAGTGCCTCTTACAGCCGTGCCTCCCGAAGCGCGACCTTCCTGCATCCTTCCGCTATCCTCCCTCCTACATCCTCCTCCCCCCTCCTCCTCTCTTCCTCTCCCCTCCCTCATCCCTCATCCATCCTCCCTGCATCCTCCCTCCATCCTCCCTGCATCCTCCCTCCATCCTCCATCCATCCTCCCTACGTCCTCAGCCTCCATCCTCACTCCATCCTCCCTCCTCCTTCTCCTCTTCCTCCTCCTACCTCCTGCTCATCCCTCTAATTGATCCATCATTTTCCTGCCTCCTGTTCCTCCCTATCTCCTCCTTCCTATCTCCTGCTGCTCCTCTGCCGGCGGCTGGCGGCCTTCTCCCCCCACGGGCACTTGGTGGGGTTGCAGATCGGAGAAAAGGCCGACACCGACCTGGGGGGAGAGGAGCGAATAAGAGCGCGGAGGGAAGGGGAGAAGAGAGGAGGAGGAGGAGGAAGAGCAAGCAATACCTTGGCAGCTGTGTCTTCCGAGTAAGGGTAAGCTTACTTGCAAATTCGCATTGAAAGAAGACAGCGCTGCTGGCGACTATACAACGGCAAAGCAGCAGGCTCGCCGAGAGGAGGAGGAGGAGGAGGAGGACGAGGAGGGGGAGGAGGAGGAGGAGGAGGAGGAGGAGGAGGAGGAGAATGATGAAGGAGGAGTTGTATTACCACTCGCATCGATCCGGTGCCTGTGGCAGGAGGAGGCGGAGGGAGCAGAGGCGGAGGCGGAGGCATCCGCCAGCAGCCGCGCAGCATGTCTGTTGTAGTCGACGGAAGCATGCTGGCAGCCGACGAACCCAGGCGCCGACAACTGGGCCATTCCCCCTCGCCGACCTCCATCACACATTCATCTACTCCTCTTCACCTTCTTCATACTCACCATCATCAGCAGCAGCCTGATCGTCGTCATCATCATAATCATCATCATCCTCATCATCGTCATCAGCATCATCCTCCCAATCAGCATCACCATCGTCATCATCATGAGTATCATCATCATCCTTCAACATCATCCTCATCATCCTCATCATCCTCATCATCATCATCATCATCATCATCACCATCTTCAACAGCATCACCGTCATCATCATCCACATCACGGTCATCATGACAATTGGCATCGGCATCGTCGTAGTCATCCTCGTCGACATGAGCACCGTCATCATCATCCCTATCATCGGCCGCATCATAGTCATCATCATCATCAGCATCATCATCATCATCATCATCATCATCATCAGCCTCATCATCATCGTCATCAGCATCACCGTCATCATGGTCAACATCATTATGGCCATCATCGCCATCGTATTCGAAACCGCCTTGCCCCCTGAATCAACATCATCAGCATTGTCAATAGCAGCAGCCGCAAGTACATCAACATCGCCATCATTATCGACCGCATCATCAACATCATCATCATCATGAGCATAACCATTGTCAACAACCTCAACATCATCATCACATTCTTGAGCATCAACAGCATCGTCGTCATCATGACCGCCATCAACAACATCATCATCATCATCATCATCATCATCATCATCATCATCACCATCATCGTCACTATCATGACCATCCTCAACAATAGCAGCAGCACCATCATCCGTGCCATGATCATCCTCATCACAATCAGCATCAACATATTCCGCAGCATCAGCAGCACCAGCAGCATCATCATGATCGTCTTCTGCAGCATCAGCAGCAGCAGCATCATCTTCCTCATTATCCTCCTCGTCAGCATCACCATCATAAGCATTGTCAGTAGCATCCTCAACATCGGTATCAGCATCGTCATCGTCACCACGAGCAGAATATGCAGCATCGTCGTCAGCATCACCATCATCAACATCACCGCCATCATCAGCATCATCATCACCATAATTGACATCGTCATCGTCATCGTCATTCCCCATGGATTATCCGCATCATGCTCAACAGCAGCAACCGCAGCCGCATGAGCATCACCATTATTGACAACAGCCACATCCACATCATCATCGTAGTAATCGTCAAATTCGACATCGTCATCGTCATCAGCATCATCATCAATAGCACCATCATTATCATGATCGTCACATTCTTCAGCATCAACATCAACGTCGCCATCATCACAACCGTCGTAAACATCATTACAATCATCAGCATCATCAGCAGCATCAACGGCATCATCATCATCATCATCATCATCATCATCATCATCATCATTATCATCATGGTACTCAGCCTCATCCCGAACATCATCATAATAATCCTCATCAGCATCATCATCCTCATCAGCATCATCATCAGCATCATCCTGATGTTCTTCAGCATCAGCAGCAGCAAGAGCATTACCCGCATCCTCGTCGTCGCTGTCATCATCAGAGCAACATCAAATCTCAATTTCTTATCAGCATCAGCATGATCGTCATGAGCATCATCACGACCACCGCCACCACCACCACCATATCAGCAGCAACATTTTCAGAATCAACAACATCACCATCATCACCAACACCAACATCAGCATCATCGACATCGTCAGCAGCATCATCATCATCCTCCTCCTCCTCCTCCTCCTCATCATCATCATCATCATCATCATCATCATCGTCATCGTCATCAGCATCATCATCAGCATCATCAGCATCATCATGGTTATCATCATGGTCGTCGTCATCATCAGCAGCAGTATCATCAGCAGCATCAGCATCCTCATCATCATCAGCATCATCATCACCATCATCATCACTCCTCCCCCCAGGGGGGCGGCGCGAGAGAGCGCGAAATGCTTCTCGCTTCGCGCGTCAGGTGCAGCGGAGCTCCCCCGGCCACCTCGAGCTGTTGGCCGAACTCGTGCCTCCCGAAGGCCAAAAAGGCGCCCCGAGAAGGTCAGCAAACCCGAACGAGAGCGCGCGCGGAGGGGCAGGGCGGCCCCCACGCCGGCGGGCGGCCTGAACGTGCCCGGGTTCCGGATGGCGACCTGGCGGGCTCGCTCAAGACGGGCGCTGAGTAGGATGATGAGGAGGAGGAGGAGGGTAAGAAGGATGAGGGTAAGAGTAGGATGATGAGGGTGAGGAGGAGGAGGGCGAGAACTGGCACTACGATCCCAGTCGATCTAAGCTCGCCTGGCATCAACGAGGCGGGTTAAGGAGGAGGCCGAGGACCCGGAAACCCCGACGTCACGATTGTTTCATGACGTCGGCCCCCACAGGTCTCGATCCCTGAGTCGTTTTTGGACGGTCCCAGGGTCCAGCGAGGGCCCCCAGAGACCAGAAATGCAGAAAGATCGCCGGTCGCGATTTTTTTCATGACCCGAGGGGGTCTCTGAGGAGGAGGAAGGGGGGACCTGGCACGAGGGCAACTGCGTTCGCGCCGCGCGCTTCACGGAGCCGAGAGGCGCGAACAGTTTCGCTTCCCTGCGCGCCGCCCCTCAAAGGGAGATGAGACGACGATGATGATGATGATGAGGAGGAGGAGGAGGATGACGATGATGATGATGATGGTGATTATGATCATGACGATGATGACGATGATGATGATGATGATGATGATGATGATGATGATGATGATGATGATGATGATGATGATGATGGTGATGGAAATAATGATGATGACGATGATGATGATGCTGCTGATGATGATGATAACGATGATGACGATGCTAATGATGCTGGTTATGATAAAAGTAACAACGATGATGACGATGATGATGACGCTGATGATTATGATGCTGATTATAATTATGATGATGATGATGGTGATGATGATGATGATGGTGCTGATGATAATGACGATGGTGGTGGTGATGATGATGATGGTGATGGTGATGATGCTGGTGTTGTCAAGGATGATGATGACGGCGGCGACGACGACGACGGTGCTGATGATGAAGATGTTGATGATGGTGATGATGACGATGATAAGGATGAGGATGAGGACAATAGTGATAATGTAGGTTATGAGGACGATGATGATGACGATGACGATGATGATGACGATGACGATGATGATGACGACGATAATGATGATGGTGAAGATGGAGATCACGACGACAACGACGACGACGGCGGTGGCGATGAAGACGCTGATGCTGATGACGATGATGATGGTTATGCAATGATGATAGGTGGTGATGATGATATTGCGGGAGACTATAAAGATAACGGTGATGATGACGATGAGGGTGATGATGATGTTGTGATGGTGATGAGGTTGATGGCTCTAATGATGCGGATAATTATGATGGTGATGCCGATTATGATACTGATGTTGATGATGACGCTCTTAGTGATCATGACGATGCTGATTATGATGATGTTGATGGTCGTGATGATGCTGACGACGACGACGGCGATGACGATGGTGATGACGATAAAGATGATGACGATGATGATGGTGATGATCATCATCATCATGATACTGATGCTGCTGATGATGATGATGCTGTTGCTAATGATGATGCTGATGATAGTGATGTTGATGATGATGATCATGATGATGCTGATGATGATGATGGCGGTGGCGATAGCGATGGCGATGGCGATGGTGATGGTGATGGTAATGGTAATGGTGATGAGGAGGAGCAGGAGGAGGATGGCGACGAACAAAGGGGGGAGTCGTGATCCGCGAATAGCCTCGCGCGCCGAGGCGGACTCCGTGGCAGTGCCCCCGCGGCTGGCGGCGCCGGCTTCGCGCGTGTTACGCTCCGCGGCACCGAGGTTCGCGCAGTCGTCTTTCGCGGGGCCCAGGCCGCGGGGCGCGGGGGGGCGGCCTGGACAGATGCTCTTCCCGCGCGTCGACCTCTGACTATGCTGGGATCCTGGCGTCTCATCTGTTCCCAAACATCCTGTTGTGTTGGGTTCTCGATTGGAAGAAGCAGCGCCCCGCGTACTCCTCATCTTCTTCTTCCTCCTCCTCCTCCTCCTCCTCTTCGCCCCCCCCCTCCCCCCTCCTTCCGTCCTCCCTCCTCCCAGCCCTGCATGACCATGTCGTCCCACCCCTCGCACGCTTCGTGGCCTCAGAGGGGGCGCCACCGAAGGCCCCAGTGGCAGGATCCACATGCGGCTCCCTGTCCACCACATGGGGCACTTCTGGTGCACTCCTCACACGATTCGCCGCCTCATAGGGTGCTCCATTTAAGGCCCCAGTGGCCAGGTCCACATGCGGCTCCCCACCCAGCGCAGGTCCGTCCGGGCACACCCCTCACACGACTCGCCGCTCCACAAGGAGCGCCACGGAAGGCCCCAAATGGCAGGGTCCACGTGCGGCCCCCCCCGCCCACCGCACATCTCCACTTCGGCACGCTCCTCACACGGTTCTCGTGGCCCCATGGGGAGCTCCACCCAAGGCCCCAGTGGCAGGGTCCGCATGCGGCTCCCCGCCCGCCGTTATGTGCAGGTCGGCACAACCCCATCACACGCTTCGTGGCCCCATAGGGAGCTTCACCGAAGGCCCCAGTGGCAGTCTCCAAATGCGGTTCCCCGCCAGCCGCATGTCAATTTCGGCACACTCCTCGCACCGTTCGTGGCCTGATAGGGAGCTCCAAAGGCCCCAATGGCAGGGTTCGTATGCGGCCCCCCGCCCATTGCATGTCCATTTCAGCACACACACAAACACACACACACACACACACCACACGCCTCGTGGCCTGATAAGGAGCTCCAACTACCAGTGGCAGGATCCACGTGCGGCTCCGCGCGCATTTCAGCACACACAAACCACACATTTCGTGACCCGACAAGGAGCACCACCGAATGCCCCAGTGGCATGGTCCACATGCGGCTCCCCGCCCATTTTGGCACACCCCTCACCCGCTACGTGATTGCATATGGCTGTGTCCTTCACCAGGATATGTTTTTTTTCGAGATGGGCGTGTTTGCCCCGTGTCTGTTTGGTGTCGGGCCCCGGGACTCTCACAGATCGACCCCGAAAACGGTTGCAGAAAGATGGGTCCAGGGCCCTGGTCGTGATCTTTGCGCGATGTTGATGTTGTCCCAACTATAATGTGGTGTTGGGTCTTCGTTTCGAAGAGACCGCGCCCCACGTCTCACTCCGACCTCCCGGTGCCCCTCCTCCAGTCCCTGCCACTGCCCTCCGCATTCCTTGTCCGCCATATCCATCAATCTCCTCATCATTATCATGATCATCACCATCATCCTTATCATCATCATCATCATCATCATCATCATCATCATCATCATCATCATCATCATCATCATCATCATCATCATCATCATCATCATCATCATCAGCATCAGCATAAGCATCAGCATCAGCATCAGCATCATCATCATCATCATCATCATCATCATCATCATCATCATCACAAACAGCATCAGCAGCATCATCATCATCATCATCAGCATCATCATCATCACCATCAGCATCATCATCAGCATTATCATCATAATAAACATCAGCATCACCAACATCAACATCATCATAGCCATCAGCATCATAATCGTCCTACTCAGCATCCTCATCGGCATCACCAGCGTCATCATCACGATCAACATCAGCATCAATATCATCATCATCATCATCAGCATCATCATCATCATCAACATCAATGTCGACACCATCAGCGGAAAACATCATCATCATCATCATCATCATCATCATCATCATCATCATCATCATCATCATCATCATCATCATCATCGTCACCACCATCATCACCATCAGCAGAATCACCCTCAGCATCAGCAACGTCGGAATCAGCAGCATCAGCATCATCATCATCAGCAGCATCATCGCCTCCGCATCAGCAGCATCATCGCCATCATCATATGCGGCATCATCATCAGCATCATCAACAACACTCAACACCTCATCCTCATCATCAGCGTCAGCCCCATCATCAACATCATAATCAACATCATCATCACTATCACCATCAGCATCATCATTATCAGTAGCACAACCATCAACATCATCAGCATCATCATCATCATCATCATCATCATCATCAGCATCATCATCATCATCATCCTCATCATCATCATCATCATCATCATCATCATCATCATCATCATCATCATCATCATCATCATCATCATCATCATCATCATGATCATCATGATCACCATCATCACGATCAGAATCAGCATCATCACCATCAACATCATCACCACCATCATCATCAGCATCATCAGTCCGCCGATCCGGCGTGTGAACTACAAGAGCTTCAGCTCTGAGCCTAAGCAAGAGCTTCAGCTCTGGCTGGGGGGGGTCGCCGGGGTGGCTCTGCCGGGGAAGGGGGGGAGAGGGGGGGGTCCTCTGGTGTTTCTTACGCATCCCGAGCCCTCCAGGAAAGGGGGGGAGGCGGGGGGGCGGTGGGACGGGTCCCTCATCTGGCGTTTTCTTAATGATTTTGATTTGCGCATCCCCAAGAAGTTTCGGGGGGTCCCAGGGACCCCCCTCAAATCTAGCCACCACCGCCCCCCGGGACCCTCCCCTCGGAACCCTCCCCGGACCCCCCTGGGACCGCTCCAGGCACCCCCCCAGAGGAGAAGAAAGAGGACCAGAAGAATCGAGGAGGGAGGAGGCCACAGAGCCGTGAAGATCACCGAATCTGGATCCCCCGGATCGGCGGCACTGGCCGGAGGTCATTACAATATCATCATCATCATCATCATCATCATCATCATCATCATCATCATCATCATCATCATCATCATCATCATCAGCAGCATCACCATCATCATCATCATCATCATCATCAGCAGCATCAGCATCAGCATCAGCATCAGCATCAGCATCATCATCATCAGCATCGTCAGCATTATCGTCATCAACATCATAAGTATCATTATCATCATCATCGTCATCAGCATCAACAACATCATCATCATCATCATCATCATCAGTATCATCATCATCAGCAGCCGCATCAGCATCAGCATCAGCATCATCATCATCATCATCATCAGCATCATCATCATCATCGTCATCATCGTCATCATCAGCATCATCAACATCAGCAGCACCATCATCAGCATCATCATCGTTGTCATTATCAGCATCAGCATAATCATGTCCATTTCGGCACACCCCTCACACGCTTCGTGGCCCCATAGAGAGCTCCGCCTAAGGCCCCAGTGGCAGGGTCCGCACGAGGGCGTCACCTGTCACCCCCCTCACACGTTTCCTGGCCCCACAGAAAGCCCCACCCAAAGCCCCTAGCGGCAGAGACCGCGTGTGTTCGTCACCACCGTTTCGGCACACCCCTCACACGTTTCGCGGCCACATAGGGAGCTCCACCTAAGGCGATACTCGCAACAGCGTTGCACACAGCTGCATGTGGTTGGCTTCAGTCGCCAAGCTGATGTTCGCCGCGTCGGATTTCGGGGCGATGCTCTTCCCGTGAGTCGATCTCCCCATCCCGTGGGGGGAAGGGGTCGAGGCCGACTGCAGCAGGGTGTTTTCACAAGAGGGCCGTGCAGGCCACACTCTCTCGGGGGGCCTCAGAAGGGGGAGGTGCGAACGCGTGCCGCGCGCTGACAGAGGAGTGCCCGTGGCCCGAGGTGCGCCCCGCTGCCCGCCCGTGCCAGGCCCCCGCGAGGGCGCACCCGGGAGTCGTGGGGGGGGGGGGCACCTGGGGGCCGATTGCGGGGAACGGAACGGAACGGAACGGTCGCTGAAAACGAGCTGCGCGCGCGCGGCTACGTGCCCTCACGGGCTCAGCGTAATTGGTCAGCCCATCGTGTCAGAGGGCGCCCGCGGGCTCTCCTGGAAACCTGGAAACCTGGAATGGGCCCGCCCGGGGGCAAAGGGCACCTCTGGCGACACCCGCGACGGGGCCGAGGAGGAGGTCCGACCAGCGGCCTGGAGGCTGGCGTCCTCGAGTGCTTCTCCAGTCTCCTCGTTTGCAAGTTTGGCAACTCCTGGAAAAGCATCGCCTCCCCGCTCAACTGGCCGCCGATCACAAACAGCGATCCCCACCCCGCAAACGTCCTTGGCAAAACAGCTGCTGCAGACACGGGGTCATGTGCATGTGGCACGGTCTCTTTGGAAAAGGATCATGGGGAGTGGAGGGGGCCAACATAAGAGGGATACCTAATCCCTACACATGATCAGAATTATGATGAACGACATAAGAGCCCTATACAGAAGACGGCCCGTGCAGACGGCGGGGCAATAAGAATGAGGAGGTTCAACCACGATGCTGAGGGGACGAACATGGATGGAGAGAACCGTAGGGAGGATGAGGATGAGCAGCAGGAGGCAGTGGTGGATGAGAGGGAGAAGAGGGAGGGGAAGAAGGATGAGAAAGGGCAAATGGACGCGGACGAGACGACGACGACAACAACGCCAACGTCGACGAAGACAAAAAAGCCCCCCGCGCGCGCCGTCAGAGCCCCGTGGCCGCCCATGCTGTGACCGGTAATGCCGACCTCTGCGGGGAGGAAGGAGGCCTCCCCCTCCCCTCCTCTCAGCCCCCTCCTCCTCCTCCTCCTCCTCCTCCTCCTCCTCCTCCTCCTCCATCTCCTCCTCCTCCTCCTCTTCGTGTTCCTCCTCGTCCTCCTCGTCTTACTCCTCCTCTTTCTCATCCTCCGCCTCTTCTTCCTCCTACTACTCTTCTTCCACATCTCCTTGTCCTCTCCTCCTCCTCCTCCTCCTCCTCCTCCTCCTCCATCTCCTCCTCCTCCTCCTCTTCGTGTTCCTCCTCGTCCTCCTCGTCTTACTCCTCCTCTTTCTCATCCTCCGCCTCTTCTTCCTCCTACTACTCTTCTTCCACATCTCCTTGTCCTCTCCTCCTTCTCCTCCTCCTCCTTTTCCTCCTCATCTTCCTCCTCCTCTTCATTCTCCTTCTACTCCTCCTCCCCCTCTCCTTCATGTTCCTCCTCGTCCTCCTCGCCATACTCCTCCTCTTCCTCATCCTCCACCTCTTCTTCCTCCTACTACTCTTCCTCCTCCTCTCCTTGTCCTCTCCTCCTTCTCCTCCTCCTCCTTCTCCTCCTCATCATCTTCCTCCTCCTCCTCCTCCTCCTCCTTCTACTCCTCCTCCTCCTCCTTCTCCTCCTCCTCCTCCTCCTCTTCATGTCACTCTCCTCCTCCTTTCCTCCTCATCCTCATCCTCCTCCCCCTCCCCTTCCGCCTCGTCATCCCTCCTCCTCCTCCTCGTCCTCCTCCTCGTGTTTCCTCGTGTTTCCTCCCTCCTCCTCCTCCCTCTCCCTCCTCCTCCGTCTCCTCCTCGTCCTCCTCCTCCTCCGCCCTCCGCCTCCTCCTCCTCCTCATCCTCCCCCCTCTCCTCTTTTTCATCCTCAGCCTCCGCCTCCTCCTCCTCCGACTCCTTCTCCTGCACCTCCTCCTCCTCCTCCTCCTCCTCCTCCTCATCCTTCCTCCTCCTCTTTCTCCTCGGCCTCCTCCTCCTCCTCCTCCTCCTCTTCCTCCCCTTCCTCCTCCTCCTCCTCCTCCTCCTCCTCCCCCTCCTCCTCCTTGCCTCCTCGACCTCTCCCCTCCTGCTCATCTGCCGCCTCCTTTCCTCCTCCTCATCCTCCTCCGTTTCCTCCCCTCCTCCTCCATCTCCTCGTCTTCCTCCTCCTCCTCTCCTCCTCCTCCTTCCTCCTCCTCGTCTTCTTCCTCGTCGTCCTCGTCGTCTTTGTCGTCCTCGTCGTCCTCGTCCTCGTCCTCGTCCTCTTTCGCCTCTCCTCCTCCTCCTCCTCCTCCCCGTCCTCCTCCCCCTCGTTCTTTTCTTCCTCCCTCCTCCTCCTACGCCTCCCCATTCCCCCTCCCCCCCCGTCCCCCTCCCCCTCCTCTTCCTCTTCCTCTTCATCCTCGTCCTCCTCCTCCTCGTCTTCCTCCTCATCCTCCTCCCTCTTCTTCTTGTTAGTACTTTTCGTATAAGTATCAGTATTACCAGTATGAGTAGGATTATTCATAGTATGATCGTTGTAAATATTATTATGGTTATTACTACTACTGTTGTTCGTAATAGTATGATCATGCGTTTTCGTCTGAGTCTCCCTAGTGTAATTGGTGTGGTTATTCCGGTCTGTAGTATCAGTATGATTGGCATTAGTATTCCTATGATGAGTTTATGATCATGAGTATTGTTGGACTATGTCTTATTCGGATTACCCTGCTTCATCGTATCCGTAGTACTGGCCTTGTTCATACTATTCAGTTTATGTCCTTTATTCATACCAGTATTCGTCATACTCTTCTCATGGTTCCTATCACTCCTAGTACCAGTCGCAGTAGCATGAGTATTATTTGTCGTATTAATTCGCGGTAGTATTAGTAGCCTTCGTCTCAGTATTATTGGTATTAATCGTTTTGATTGTTTGCTTTACTCTAAGTACTCAGGGCGTTCACAGCACATCCGATTTCATAGTCGTTGTCTTAGTCGTAGGTATGTTCCTCATGTGTCGCAGTTATATTCTTGTTAAGCTTCGTAGTATTAATATCGTTGATCTCCTTTGCCGTATCGCACCATTCGTCTTCTTCATAATACGAATCACGAAATTAGCATTATTATTCTTACGAATTGTACTCGTATGATCACAAAAAGTCGTCGGAATAGTACTACGAGTCGCCGTATTAGTATTAGTCTTCTCCCCCGCATTCATAGATGTCCCATGATTACTCGTAATACTCTTACCAGTATTCATATTCATATGTGTCTGATTCGTCTACTTCCTTCTCCTCCTCCTCCTCATCTTCTTCATATTCATCCTCCTCCTCTTCCTCGTCCTTCGCCCCCCTCCTCCTCACCACCAACGTCATCATCGTCGTCCGCATCACAACCATCATCATCATCATCATCATCATCATCATCATCATCATCATCATCATCATCATCATCATCATAATCATCATCATCATCATCATCATCATCATCATCATCATCAGCATCATCATCATCAGCATCACATCATCATCATCAGCATCATCATCATCACCGCATCATCACCATCATCATCATCAGCGTCATCATCATCATCACATCATCATCATCATCATCATCATCATCATCATCAGCATCAGCATCAGCATCATCATTATCAGCATCATCATCATAATCATCAATCATCATCTCATCATCATCATCATCATCATCATCATCAGTATCATCATCATCATCATCAGTCATCAGCATCAGCATCATCATCATCATCATCATCATCATCAGCAGCATCATCGTCACCATCATCATCATCATCATCATCATCATCATCATCATCATCATCATCATCATCATCATCATCATCATCATCATCATCATCATCATCGCCAGCATCATAATTCCCCTTTTCCCCCTCCGCTTCCTCCGCCTCGTCTCCTCCTCCTCGTCCTTTTCCTCCTCCTCCTCCTCCTCCGCCATCTCCTCCTCCTCCGCCTCCTCCGCCTCCTCCGCCTCCTCCTCCTTCTCTTCCCCCTCGTCCTCCTCCTCCTCCTCCTCCTCCTCCTCCTCCTCCTCCTTATCCTCCTCCGCCTCCTCTTCACCGCCTCGTCCTCCTCCTCCTCCTCCTCTTCCTCTTCCTCCTCCTCCTCCTGTGCCTCCTCCCCCCCGTTTTCTCCTCCCCTTCCTCCTCCTCCTCCTCCTCCTCCTCCCTCCTCCTCCTCCTCCTCCTCCTCCTCCTCGTGTTCCTCGTGTTCCTCCTCTTCCCTCTCTTCCTCCTCCTCGTCTTCTTTTTTTCCTCCTCCTCCTCATCCTCCTCCTCGTCCTTGTCCTCGTCCTCATCCTCCTCCTCCTCCTCTGGCGTCCTCCTCCTCCTCTTCCTCCTCCTCCTCCTTCTCCTCCTCCGCTTTCTCTCAAGCAATAGTGGTTCGATCTTTCATTATGCTGGAGCGAGCCAAAGCCTCTCACTTCCGCGAGGTGTTTGTCGGGGGAGAGGGTTTCGCAGTCACACTTTGTTTGTGATGCGTCCCGTAGGCGAAAAGAGGTTCGTTACTCAACCATGGCACGTGCGTGGTCTCCGCGCGAACGTTGCAGCACGTGCGAATATAATGACGTGCTGATAGAAAAGGTCAAATGAAATCCCGCAGGTGCATCAGCTCAGTGAAGATGTACAAGTCTCGGAGATCCATGGACCAGCAGGACAGCCAGCACCCACCAACTGCTCTCGAGGGTGCCATGCAGGCGCGTCCCACGGTCTCGAGCTTGCTGGCGCGGGCTATCAAGCTGGCGGCCGACTCCGAGGTGAAGAAGATTATGCTGCAGGAGGTGCAGCGAGAAGACGAAGAAGCAGACCTCGTCCACTACTTCTGCGCTGCCTGCCGAGGCTGCGAGGAAAGCGGAAGGCGTCTGGAAGGGCGCCACCCTCCACGACCAGCAAGCGGCGAGTCATGTCAAGAGATGCAAGGATTACCTGGAACGTCGCGAAAGCAGCGGCTCCGCCTGCAGCCTCGACCGCGTCGTCGGCGCCGCCAGCAGCGGGGCCCCCAGCGGAGGCCGTCGCCCAGGTGGAGATGGAGCGCATCGAAGCGGCACGCGCCGCGGCCGAGGCCGCTGCGGCGGCTGCCCAGGCGCCGGCGCCGACGGGGGTACAGGCAGCTTCCACCGCGGGCGTCGGCGGCGCCGCCGCGGGGCAGCGATTGCTCGCTCCCGCCGAGAGCCAGCCGGAGCCCACGGCCGCAGCAGGGGGCTGGCCGACGGCGCCAGCAGGAGCTCATGACGCCGCTGCAGGCGCTGCACCTCATGAAGCAGACAGCGGGAGCCGAAGCGACGACGGACTCGGACGTTTTCACCATGTTCTTCAGCAACGCCACCTGCTGGGGCGCCCAGTCCCGGGGCCATGTCGGGCGCAGAGAGTTCCTGGGCCAGCGCGACTTCGCAGGGATGGTCGAGACCCGCGCGGGATGCCACTCACGGGCGCGGCTGGCGAAGAAAACTCGATCTTCGAAATGGAAGCACTTGGGCCATGGGCCCGGAACACGGCCAGAGGCACTACGGCAGCGGCGACCGCCAAGGCCAACGAATGAGGGGAGCTTTTCTAACGCCTGGCCATCGCAGCGTTCACAGGTTGCACGGAAAATCACATGAAGCCGCCGCTCTCCGCGCCGACGGGTCGAACTCGTTCGAAGGGTTCATGCCTGAAGCGGCACGCGCACAGGGCATCAGCATGCCCACCCTTCTTCTTCACGCGCGCTCATTGGCTTGGACTCGCAGAAGCCATCGCACAGAGGCATGCGCGCCTCGGCGCTCCATTCCAGTCAGTCCAGCCCCCGTGGACCGCCCTCGGGAACTTCTATCAAGATGTCAACCAGTTTCGCCCATCTGCCTCTGTGAAAAAAGCGCGTCGGGAGCGCGGGTCGCTCGCGCGTAATTGGATTCCTCAACGGCACCCGGAAACAGCCCCCCATGCATTCGCAGCTGGTCGGCCAGGACAGCCGTTCCCTGGGGCCCGCGCTGCGCCCTCGAGCTCAAGCTGAAAGACGTGGGCGAAGA